AGGTGAGTTTGTTTCTTCATTGGAGCAGATTTGGAGATTTGCTTTAGCATTTGCTCACCAATAGATCCTCTGCAGTGAATGGGTGCTGTCAGAATGAGAGTCCAAACTGCTGATAAAGACATCATAATAATCCACAAGTTATCCACAAGACTCCAGTCCATCAATTAATGTCTTGTGAAGCAAAAAAGCTGCGTGTTTGTAAGAAACAAATCCATCATTATGGTGGTTTAACCTTAAACCATTGGTTCTAGCAAAAATACCAGTCCATAATCCATAACGGTTCATCCACTGAAAACCCCCTGTTGTCCTCTCGTATTAAAATCCACCAACATATTTGTTTAGAAATGTTCCCGACTGTTTTCACTTGTAAACGGTGCTTGATCTGTGCATATTTCTCTCCTGATTCATACACCAATATTTCATTGGATACAATACTCATATTTTAGTCAGAAGCAATGGTTTGAATTTAAGAACGTCTTATTGATGGAACTCATGTTGACTTCTTGTGGATTATTGCGATGTTTTTATCAGCCGTTTGGACTCTCATTCTGACGGCACCCATTCACTGCAGAGTGATGCAATACTGATTTTTTCCAAATCTGTTCTTATGAAGAAACAAACTCTTGCATGGCTCGAGGGTTAGCAAGATTTCTGCAACCATTCATTTTTGGTGAACTATTCCTTGAAATCAATAAAACACAAGAGGCCGTGTGTCACAGTGTGCACTTTTGATCTTCTCTGAAATATCCTGTGCAGATGTGGAAGATATCATGAAGTGTTCATGAACTCATCAGTTTCTCGGTCTTGTTTCAGCATCCCCTCTGTGTAAGACGATGATGACATGGGCATTCCAGCGGACTGCTGAGAACCTTCACATGCCGGTGGCGCTGATGACTCACCGTTTCCAGAGACATTCCACCGTGCCGGTGACCACAGCGGTTACTCTCTACTGCACTACTACACAAGTTTCATTGTCCTTATCTGGATCTTCCATCTGCAGCACATGGGAATTCCCCAAAAAACAGATGACATGCTACATGCTCTGGTCAAGATGAACCAAACCGGCGAGCAGGACAATGAAAAAGTCTAACAGACAGGCGTAATTATACCTCCTACATCATCCATCAATACAATTTCCAGATGTGCTCTAGTCTATGCACAATGTATGTGGAGTTCCAGTGGATTTAGACAAAGATAGATAGATATAGAACTTTTAAATTGTAGCTACTTTGAAAAAGCCTAAATAAGTAGGCCTAGGCTACTTTTACACAGATAGATAAGATAGATAGATAGATAGGAAATTGCTCAACCAGTAAAGCACACAATATCTACACAATACAAGAATATTGCGCTCTATTCAGCGATATATTTCCTCCGTTATGGAATTATGCTCGTCCACTTTACTTAATTTTCAATTTCACAACAGTATAAGTAACAGTAATGAACAGAAGCAGCAGGGCGAATGTATGTCAACTTAATTGTGTGTCAGTATTGATGTATGAATGTTTGCACAGCGTGTTTGATATACAGTGACTCTACTGTACCGGCTACCGGAGACAATGACCGTCCCTCCACAACACTAAACAACGAGCTCTACCCATTGTGTTTTATACAAGTAAAATATTAAAAATACATAAAACTGGACGTCATTATGTGAGTTTTGATGTGAGTCAGTACATCATTCACTCTCGCTGCTGCTGATTGATGCGCTCCTTCAAACAGCTCATTGATTATTAATAGCATTCTTCCACACTAAATCACCATGTCACAGGCTACAAAAGGGAATAAAAGAGCATCTCAAATCGATTAAAAGCCTTTAGGATGAAACCACCACGAAGTCCTACCTGGTTGGAACATACTTTGGAAATAGAAGATGACCAGAATAAAAGATCCTAAACAAGTGGCCAGCACCATCCGGCAGATCCTACTCATCCTCATGAGGTCCAGTAATGTCTGTTTCATGGCTGGGCACGGAGAGACGGAGGGACGGAGCCCCATACAGCGGGTCTGTGTTTGATACTGATGCCGCCTGCGTCCGTGTCTCAAAGATCTCAGCGCAGCTCCCTGGAGTGCACTACCTTCCTCCGCACACTAGGCTACAGCGGCGAAACTCCGCCCCCTCTCGCCGCGCGGTGAATGAGCGCGCCCACACTGTAAACATGCTTTCATCTCTATCTTATAACAGCATCTTTCTTTCCATTTGACTTGTCCCAATACTTTTTCTGGCATTTCTGTTCGCTTTTTACGAGTTTTCAAAGTGGCAGTTATAATTTACTACATCTGCAATTGAATTCAAAGAGGTCAAAAAGTCAATTTTAAGTTGCTTTAAAAAATAAAGCCAGCGTTGCAATTAAACTGAAGCTTTTTACTTAGTGGTTTAACATTTTTGCAGTACATACCACTTATATCCAGTGTTGGGAGTAACGCATTAAAAAGTAATAATATTACAGTAGTATATTACTTTTTGCTGTAACGCAGTAATATAACGCATTACTAATCAAATTTGGGTAATATTATTACTCGTTACAATCTCAGTAACGCAAGTTACAACAACATATTTTAACTCAAAATTAAGTGGTGAATTTACTAACACCTTTTAACCTAAACTACAACGTAACATTAATGTAGACCTACATACCGGTATCTAAATATGATTTCATATATTTTATGCTATATAGACCTACCACATTACCCTCCACTGGATGTATAATGAGCAGCAATAAACTACATTTTGGCATTTTATAATATGTCAATGTGAATATTGCATATGTGAAAAAGTATAAAATTCCCCATAGTAATCACAGTTAATTATTGTAGCTATTGTTCTTATTGTAAATCTGATTCAAACAACATGGAAAGGTTTATTTATTTATTTATTTATGTATTTATTTATGTGTTTATTTATTTGTTTGTTCATTCATACATGTATTTATTTAATACAATTGCATTTTAGCTGAAACATTATTATTATTCATTTATACATTGTACATTGTATATAATATAAACTACACACACACACACACACACACACATACAATATATATATATATATATGCATATCTACATGTACACTAATAATTCATATTAATATATACATTGTACTTTGTATGTTATAGAAATTACATGCACATATAAACATAATATTATTATTAATACTAACCATTTATATATTGTACTTTGTATATAATAGAAACTAGGCTACATGCATTTATAAACAAAAATAAAATAACATTGTAATAAGAAAAGAAGTAGCTTTCAGTTATTATTTATTCATTTATTTATTTAATAAAATTGCATGTTATCTGAAAGTATTATTTTTATTATTATTATTATTACAACTAATAATAAATAAAAATAATAATAAATAAAATAAAATAAAAATTGTAATAAAATGACAGGAAATTACAAAAACCTTTAAGTTAAAGCTAATCAAGTCAAAAGGCATAGTAAATATGTGATTAAATTTATAATTTATAATGTATAATAAACCAAGTCATTTGAGAAGAGTTTGTGGCAATTCCAAATTGAAAATTAAGTCTTAATTCATATGGCTATAAACTGCCACAACATTTCCTCCTCAAGAAGCAGTCGCTAATATAATTATGCATTCACGGTCCACAGCATTCAATGCTGACTGAAGCAGAAACGTTTAAAATGCATGAGTGATTTTTCATTCTGGACCTGCTGATTAGAGGCACTTTCTGAGGTGTCCATTCCCAAGAGGAAGCTCTCAGGGAATTAGGCCAGAATTACAAGGTCATGGTGTTGATGTCTACTGAGACCCTGTGAGGGGAAGCGAGGAGAGCTTTTACTGTACAGCGAGGAATTACAGCATAAAAAGTATGCTGGGAAACTCCTGGAAAATGCAGTTATTTGTGGCTGGCCTGTGACTGTAAGTGTAGCTTTTTTGCCAGTTTAGACAAAATATACAGCCAGGACAGGGGTGAAATACTGTTATATTTTATTTGACTGTAAGCAATTAGTTAAAGCCATTACTGTACACACTAATGAGGAAATAACAGTGCCTTAAGTACTAAAATGCATTAAACATAATTCTCTTTTCCCTCCACTCAGGTCAGGCATGAGCATGTCAGGGTTTTGTAATTATATTTTAATATTTCAGAGCTGGCTGCGATTAAACTGCTACTCTTAGGAAAGGTTTGCTTCTTTGTACAAGCATCTGGTATCACAAGCAGTCAGAAGTTAGTAAAAATAAAAATAATATAATTTTTTTCCACTTTAATTAGTTCTTTAGGTGCAAACTACACACATTTATTTTACTTCAAAAAACTTTCAAAAATAATTAAAGAGACAAAACCATATCATCCACCCACATTCAAAGAAGAGCATTTAGTTACTTTTTCACTTCACTGTGCAACATATGTTTGCCATCACTTTGAACATATGGCACTTTTAAAGTAATGAAGCATCACCATAGGTGCATTATTCACTCATGAAGAAAAAAGTAAAAATATGAAGAACATAATACAGAAAAAAAAGGAACGTTTTCACAGTTGGCGATGATAAACAAAGACTGCATTTGAATGTGAAATTCACCTCATTCAGTTCTTTTGTCAAGCTGAGCTCCAGCACCAGTAATATTTACCTGAGACATGAAAAAAAGGAAGGAAAGGGAAATAAGAGGAAGTTAGAGGGAAGTGTGTATAGGATTTCCACCTATTTCCATCAAATTAATTTATATGATAATTACCCATGTAGGCCTATAGGCCTACATACGTAATGAGTATGGATCATGTAATCAAACCAAATGAAGGGAACATGATGAAAAAACAACGTTTTAATGATTAAGGTCAATAAAAACGATTTGCACTAGATAAAGGGAACATAGAAATGTCGTTAAATGCAACCTCTTCTAATATTCACAATCTCATTTCCAGCGCGCCCCCTGGTGACCAACATACACGCGTTCACAAACTGTCTCGCGCAGCTTCATTTCCGGCGTCCAATCAAGTTGCAGCGCGAGAGCGAGTCAGGTTTGTAATGGCTCCGGTCAAATGATCCGCTTCAGCGGTAATTCTCGTGTTTAACGGATAGAAAGGCCGATACCGGCAGGTTTTTACAGGTTTTACCAGGCCGAAGCAGCCGTTAAATACAGGAAGTCTTAAAAGAATGAATGTTTGAGGATGGGTAAGGGATTATTTGAGTGGAGAAATGGATGCTATATCCCACGCGAGGCCCCGAAGCCACATTTAACCACATTTAATAAACAGCAACTGTAATTATAAAGGAAGACAGTTAATTTATGGTTAAAGTTTACAAATTGTTCATAAATGAGATATTTCCCTATGTTAAATGTGTGTAATTTGTTAACTTGAGCTGGGACGATGCTAACCTGCTAGCTGACTATCAAAACAAAGGCTGCCAGAAATACATACAAATAATTATAGGACCAGTTATTATCGATATTAATAACATATAAAAAAGCCACGAACATATTTATTGCGTATTTATTTTATTATTTGCATTTTAAAAAATATCTTTTCTAGCTGTTTAATCTAGCTTGTCTAATAAACCTGGCATTGTTTATTACGATTTTTGTTGGTTCTTTGACGAATTGCTGTTTGTTCCTCTTTTGTAAGTGTACTTTTTGTTCCTCTTTTGTAAGTGTACTTTTTGTTTCTCTTTGGATAAAAGCGTCTGCTAAATTCGTAAATGTTTTATAAATATTGTACATATGGTTATAAATTAATATGGTTATTCAGTATTATTATTAATAATGCTTTTTATGCTCTGGAGAGTTTTGTAGTTGTCGTGGGTCATGAGTGAATATTTTTGCTCATTATAAAGCTGTAATTGGAATGAATGTTTTAACCCCCATTGTCCTGTTTGTGTTTTTTAGATGGACGGAGACAGCACCACAGATACCACTCAGTTAGGAATAACTGGAGAGTATATGACAGGAGGGACATATGTCTTGCAGACCCAGGATGGTATGGTCATGATGTCACCATAAATCATTATTCTGTGATAGAGATAGTGAACAAAGTTTTATTACGAGTCAAGTAGCAGCAGTTTGTCCATTGTCATGTTTTTTTTTTTTTTTTGGCAGATGATGGGGATGAAAGTTTCAATGACCATGAGGATGGCAACGGCAGTAAAGACCATTTCCGAGAGCAGGACATCTACCTTCCCATCGCAAATGTTGCCCGCATCATGAAGAATGCCATCCCACAGACTGGAAAGGTAATATTAGAGAATTTTAAAATTGTTTCCAGGTATGGAGAACTCGTAATAACAACAAATAAAAACTCTTGTTTTCAATATATTTTATTAGCTTGAATTTGTCCTTTTGGAGTGCATCTATATAAATCCTAATCTTATGTAGAAGTAACCTCGATCGCTTCTGTTTTCTCTTTTCAAACACAGATAGCAAAGGATGCAAAAGAGTGTGTGCAGGAGTGTGTGAGCGAGTTCATAAGCTTTATCACATCTGAGGCCAGCGAGCGATGCCATCAAGAGAAACGCAAGACCATAAACGGAGAGGACATCTTGTTTGCTATGTCCACTCTGGGTTTTGACATGTACGTGGAGCCGCTTAAACTCTACCTGCAGAAGTTCAGAGAGGTATTATTCACTCACTCACATATGCTAAATTAATAAATACATTTCAGATCATGGTCTAAAAACATCAATATAAAGGATCTTTGAGAGAGACATATCGCCTGCACTTTTGAAATAGAAAATTGCAGAATGTGATTTTTAGAAAAGCAATACCTGCATGTGTCATCATGAATATCATTTTTAGAGCACAAATTGTGGTTAGATGTGAAGTAACATATTCATATTTCCAAGGCAATGAAGGGTGAGAAAGGCATCACTCCGGTTACAGTCAGCGAAGGCCTTGGAGAAGAGCTTACAGATGACAGTTTCAGTAAGTGCAATCTCTTTCATTCATATAGCTTATATATTCTTGTGCCTTGTTCAGAAAATTTAATGCAATCGAAAAATACAGCACTATTCTCTTGCTTATTTATAGCTTTTAGTGCCTTAAAGGGTTTACATAATGAATTAATGTTGTGTTACTTTGAACTTACAGCTGGTCAGTTGCCTGCAGGACTGATCACTGCTGATGGCCAGCAACAGAATGTGATGGTATATACCACCTCATACCAGCAGGTTAGTATGTAAACCAGCACATGTTAAACTACAGATATATGACTGAAGATTCCTGATGACACTGAACCATTTACTGTTGTAAGATTTTAGTTATGCTCACTATTTAAATCTCTTTTTTTTATGATCCTTTAGATCCCTGGCATTCAACAGATACAATTCTCATGACCGAAGACCGGCCCGACTTATATCTAGTAGCCTGTCCAGTGTCCAGACAGACTTATCTCTTGCCTTGCAAAGTTTTCAGGTCAGTGCTGGAAGACCAAGAGATGCCTGGTTACCAGAGCAGGAACAAAAGTGCCTGCTGCCAGGAGGCTGATTTGATCTTAAGTGATGTCTTGTAATTCATTCAGTATTATATTTAGGCCAGTTTGTTTTGAATGGTCGGCTTGGTACAGGCCGAACCAAATTATGACTTTTTTTGGGCGGGGGGGGCGGTTCCTTGTATTTAATCATTTTTAAAGTTTGGGATGGGGCAGTGGCAAGATAGAAAGGCCATATTGACAATTTACATTCCCAGAATCAAGGGAATTTTCATTTGATTTGACGTTTGGTCTTAATTAACCTATTGAACTGACATTGTTATGCTGATTCTTTGAATAAAAAAAGTGATCTTTCTTTGTTTGAATGATGTTTAAAGTATGTCTTAAAAATCACCCATGAATATTACAAAATAAGCTGATGAAAATAGTCAAGATCAAAATTAATTTGAACAAATGTATGCCTGGTCATAACAGCGTTTCCAACTAAACTTTATTGCAATACATTTTTTAGTAAATTTTTGTCCACACAAGAAGACCATTATGGGAGTGTACATCAAAAAATGTTCTATTTGTGACTGAAATGTTGTGGAACAAATGTGTAAAAAAAAAAAAAGTAGTTACAAAGAAATTCCAAGATTGTCAAAGATTATTTTGCAATCAAGAAAAAGGTTGTAGAAATGTTTTTAAGAGCTCGGTTAAAAATAGCACTGTCTGTGTAATTAATACTCTTTGTAGTTCTCTAGGTTAGTGACATGCTAATGGAACATTAATACATATATAATCGCTAATGTAATGTAACTGCATAAGCGATTCTACAAATGGAATATTAAAAATCCCCCAGTAGACAGATTATACTAATTTGTGCAGGGTAAATGTGTATTACTGTTTAATTAATGCACTGAATATTTAACCCAAATTGCAGAATTTACGCTTTTATGGCAAAATGTAGGATGTCCTAGTAGTCGTTTTTGTAATGTAACAAAACTAAATAATTTCCTGAATTGTTCTATAACTTATTCTATATAAAACAGCATTGTAATTTTGTACAGTAATAAGGCACAGGAGAACGTTTTCTCCAGTTAAGTCTTTTTAAGAGTAAGAATTGGACAGCTTTTGGGAAAAAAAATAACGCAATCAAAATTGAGCTCAGTCCAATGAAAAAAACAGAAATGAAGGGAGCTCTGGTGGAGCGGTTTATGTTCCAACTACTGTCAATTATGCAGTTCCTAAAAGTACAGGAGCCTATTTTAAGAAACATACATGCAGTTTAAGATATGGGGAAGTAGCTCGTTTTCCACTAATGCGTGAATAAATTTTGCTCACAAAAACCATAGTAGGGATTTGGAGGTATAAAAAAAAAGTGTTGCCTGTGACTACAACAATCCATAATAAAAATAAATTTATGAACTCAGTATTAAAAGTGTTAACGAAATATGTACATTTTACAGGGATAATGACCTTTTTGACTGATACTGATAAACCTAAAGCTTACAGTATAAACGATACCATGACATTAAAAGGCAATCAAAATATAGAAAAACAGTGAACTGAGATCAGTCAATAGAAGAGTTCATTTAAAATGTCAAAAGGCGTTGTGGAATAATAAAGAGAGTGAACTGCAGTCCTGAAGTATTAGAGCTTTGGCAGTCAGTGCAGCAGCTTGCGACCCATCAGGGGTGAGAGTTCATCTGCAGGTTGTGTCAGGCTCTGCTGCTGGAGGACTGGAGTCTGCCTGCGTCACTGACGATTTCACTTTACTCGCAACTGTAGGACGACATATAAAGCAGTTAGGACCAGACTGTATATTGCATTGATATTATATTGCGGTGTACATTAATGTTCAGAAGTTATGAATATTTGATAAGAAATGAAGATTTTTATTTTACATGAAATTGATCAAAAGTGACAGTAAGGGCATTTATAATGTTACAAAATATTTCTTTTTTTTTTAAAGATACTGTTCTTTTGAACTTTCTATTCATCAAATTAACCTGAAAAAATGTATTGCAGTTATCTGCTGATTAATAAATATTAAGTTTTCAACAGTAATAATAAGAAATGATTCTTGAGCACTAAATCAGCATATTAGAATGATTTCTGAAGGATCATGTGACACTTAAGGCTGGAGTGATGATGCTGAAAATTCAGCTTTGCCATCACATTTTAAAATATATTATTTTAAATTCTAATAATATTTCACAATATTGTTTTTACTGTATTTTTGGTCAAATACTTGACCAATAAACATCAGCAGCATCAACAATGCCATAATAAAGGTAAGTTTTTTTTAATTTCTTTAATTATTGAAATTATGATTGGTTTGTGTAGCACGGTATTTAGAAGTGCCCACGATAACAATATCGTGCATATTCATTACCGTGATATATGGCATTACCGAATACCAGCACAAGTCTACCCTGGACCACAAAACCAGTCATAAAGATCAATTTTTTTAAATTGAGATTTATACATCATCTGAAAGCTGATAATATAATCATCTGAAAGCTGATAATTTAATCTGAAATAAATAAGCTTTCAATTGATGTATGGTTTGTTAGGATAGGACAATATTTGGCTGAGATACAACTATTTGAAAATCTGGAATCTAAGGATACAAAAAAAAAAAAATAGAGAAAATCAACTTTAAAGTTGTCAAAATTAAGTCCTTAGCAATGCATATTACTAATCAAAAATTAGGTTTTGATATATTTACAGTAGGAAATTTACAAAATATCTTCATGGAACATGATCTTTACTTAATATCCGAATGATTTTTGGCATAAATGAAAAATCGGTAATTTTTGAACCATACAATGTACTGTTGGCTATTGCTACAAATATACCCGTGCTACTCATGACTGGTTTTGTGCTCCAGGGTCACAAATGAGGATTTGATGAGGATACACATTAATGAGTCAAAGCTTTAGAAGTTTTTGCACACCTTGCAGCCAGCGGATCTGAGTGGCCGGACCGTAGCCCTGCTCGTTCTTGGCAGCGATACGGAAGACGACAGCAGGCCGTGCAGAGCAGTCGATGTGCGCGTTGCTCAGCTGGCTTTCGCTGACTGTGCATGAGGTCTTGGTACCACAGTAGATTCGGATGAAGGCCAGCTCGCCAGGTCTCTCCACGCTGTTCCCTCGACTCTTCCTCACAGCCAAGTACATGGAATACTCTGTGATCTTCCCCGACGGAGAGGTGGGAGGCTCCCAGGTGATATGCACTGAATCTTTATCCTGAAATCATAACATAGCATCTAAACGTCTTTGAACGCAAAATGTTTGTCATCACTGAGAAGACTGATTGTACCTTGGTGATTTTTACAGCAGATGGCGCTCCAGGAAATCCAAGCTGGCAGGTTTTAAACTCGCTGACGGGACTGAAGTTGCCCAGGCCACGGCTGTTCAGTCCGGCCACCCGGAATTTATATGTGACTCCTGAGGCCAATTCCTGCTTCTCACGATCCTTAAAACAATGAGGACCCGGCAACTCCCACTGTCGGACAGAAAGTGGTGACGTAAAACGCACTGTCACAACTGGAACCCATTACAATTAGGTGTGGTAGTATCAAACCAATAACACAGACAAACCTCACTGTCAGATGGGTTTCGACCAAACAGGGTCGATGCCATGTCACCTTCCTCAGAAGGCAGGAAGTAGTGTGTAACCTCACAATACAGTGTTTTAAACACACCCACATCAAACCACACAGAGTCCTCAGACTGTAAGGGCAAAGGGAGAAAATGTGTCAAGTGTTTTTAGGAGCTTTATACCTATATAAATACAGAAACACACTGTAACACCCTACCTGTTGGGATGGTATCGGAGAAATGTCTCGTTCTGTGAATGATAATATAAATAGTAAGAAAGGAAAACTACAGTAACAATTGATCAATTTTCAACAGGAAGTGTGTGCTCTTACCTTTCTGGCACTGAGATGTACTATTCAGCTTACCAGCCTTATTCATGTTTGATGGCATCACGGAAACACCTTCTTGATCTTTGATTATGCACATTAAAAATACATCATCAGGTATATATGTGACTGAACCACTTTGTAACACAGAAAGACTAAAAGAAAGAATGCAAGAGTGGAAATAAACATGCGTATTAAACTACATATCAGAAGCAGTGTTCACTTTTCTACCATTGTCACCTTTAGGCCGGACGTCTGTCCCTTTCTCACCTAGTTCTTTTGGCCTCAGAATGCTTTCCTGAAATGAGAAAGGCCCTGTGAGATTAATAAAAAATATAATATATAAAAAGTCATATATGAAATACACTAAAAATGCAGAAATCTGACCTGTGAAGAAGATTCTTTTTCTCCTCTTGGCTGGGAGTCTAGACAGAAAATGTATATAAATTATACATATTTACATATTAATAACAGTTATTTAAATTATAAATAATGTACACAGGGTTCTTACACCTTTTCCAATATTAAATTTGAGCACAAAACAACTTGTAATACCTATTTGTACAGATTCCTTTCTGTCTCCAGTGTCTGATGGTGTGGACTGTGGTTCAGTAGAAGCGGACTGAGATGTGATTGGCTGCAGTTGAAGCAAATAACATTCAGCTGCAGGTAAGGGCCGCCAGGCGACATGCAGCATATTAATTGTAGACTTCACAAGGAACACTGCACCAGGAGTGGAAGGCTTCTCTACACACAACAAATCAGAACTTGATGATTTAAATGTTCAGATGTAAACTTTGTTGATTTAATATCACTCACCTGTTTCAAGGTACCACAGATCTTTGCAGCACACCTGGTAGTTATTGTACTTTTTGTATCCATCTCGCCCACTCCAGACATACAGACGAGTGCCGACGGTTACTGCGCAGTGTCCAGCTCGTGCTTTCGGCCAGTGTGCATTACCCTGTTCCTGTTCGTTCAACTGTACATCTGAAGCCAATCCCTGCTGCTGTTCTTCTGGTGTCAAGTCATGCCATGTCATTGTGTCTACAGTAAGCAAACCATACCAAGAGAAAACGCGTAATGATAATAAAGCAATTTTTGAGATTATCTAGCTGCAAGAACAATGTAATATTCATGATCATACCAAGGTTTAGCATGGAAAGAGAGTTGGTGCAGACCCACTTGACTCCATCGGCAGCGAGTGCGTCCTCTGCCTCTCCAACGGGAACCCAGCCTCCAAACACATATAACCTACAACAAGAAGATAAAGAAGTCAGTGGGAGGTAAAATAATATAAAAGACATTGGAACAACTGTTCTGACAGTAGAACATCTTGACTTTATTGAAAAGCGAAATTGAGAGAGGAAATGGACAATGGAGCTGTTCAGTCATGATGTCAATATCTAGGCAAACCCAAG